GGTACGGTTAGGCTCAGTACGCTTCGACTCGGCGCGGAACAGTTCGGATCGCTTTGCGTTTCCACTGCAGTAGTACCCCTTCAAAGTGTGTGGGACTGATCGTTATTTGCGCGCGCCTCTACTGCCATGACATCATCTTAAAAGCGCCACATTTTCAAACCCACAACACAGGAACAATGGAGACTATCGAGGGGATGATGTTCCTGATTCTCGGTATGTGGTTGTTTTTAACTGCTAGACGAAAAAATTTGTTTAAAATGAGGCTGATGGCAGCAAAACAAAAATACTGCTAAAAAAGTGTCTCGTGTCTCGTGTCGCAAATCCAATGACGCTAGTAGTGACGATTCTGTCTGACCAATCAGTGATCTGCAGTGTTTCACGTCACATTTTAGTACCGGTACGGTACGCTTGGAACCTCAACAGACCAGGTACCATTTAAAGCGACCTGAAGCGAACCGTACTGTACCGTACCATGCAGTGGAAAAGCACCACAAGTGAGCCGTACCGAACCGAACCGTACCGTACTATGCAGTGGAAAAGCGCCTAAAGAGACTCAATGCTAACAATATATCAAGCCTTGATCAGATCAACAATTGATTATGGTAGCATAATTTATGGGTCAGCTTCAGAAACATTATTAAAAAGTATAGATAGAATTCAATATAGAGCTCTTAGAATATGTTTAGGAGCAATTAAAACAACACCGGTTAATGCATTATTAGTAGAAGCGAATGAAATGCCATTGAAATTAAGGAGAGAGAAATTGTCTTTGGTATTTTGGACATCTTTACACTGGAGAAAATATAGCTAAAGATATTTTAAATAATTGTTGGGAATACTGTAATACCGAGAGAGGAGGATATGGATGGAAGATAAATAAGTTAACAGCGAAATATAAGATTGCAAATATTGAATGTAGTATGTGTCCTATATGGGGAGAGGTTCCGAAATGGATTATACCGGAGGTTAGAATTGATTTAGGAATATTAGATAAGAAACGGGAATGGGAGGAAATGGGTACACTGAAAAAAATGATGTGTTGGTTTTACTTAATTTTTTCATGTAAACAGGTTCCACCGGTTGCACATAACTTTGTTTTGTTAAACAAACATAATTTGTTCATGTAACTTCAACATCATGGAAGTCATTTTAAGCCATCCAATCAAACTCTGAGCTGAGTGTTAAAGTTAATGAGACAATGGGCTATATGCACGCATAAGTTCCGCATTTGACGTAAGGATGCTCGTCCATTTCCGGTTGTGTAGATTAAAGCGGAGGAAAACCGGAGAAAACGGGATTATGGCTTCATATCTTCAATATTTGCTGTCCTCCCGTCTTTGAAACGAAACGTACATACGTTTAGATGTAATTTTATATATAGTTATGTTTATTTAATATAATTTTAAAAAGAAGCATAAACACAACGAGGGGTGTCTGTTTTATCTGTTTTTGTGACTAACATTTCATTAGTATAACTATGGAGTATAAAATTCAATATACATTCTCGGTATTGCATTGGACTCTATGATCGGCGGAAGTTATCGAGCATCCCTAATGCTTCACCGGAAATAACACCGTGCATAGAGCCCATTAAGTGAATAACTGAGTGATGATTGAGCATTATTGAAGACACCTGATGTTAACGAGCAGAATCACTGAAGGAGAAACCCGGAATTTAAGGTCACCATTATGGAGATGAGTATTTGTTTTAGTTGGGCTCTTGACCCCCACATTATTTACTTTTGATTTTGTCTGAGCTGTAACAGCCAGATAATCAACTAGAAAATGTGATCTGTGGATGTTGGTTGTGTTTTCACATAATCATTATATCACAATGATTTGACCTGAATCGTTGAACTCATACAGATGCAAGTTTCTGAATTAAGTGAGAGAGAGAGAGAGAGAGAGAAAGGTCACCTCTGAACTAGGGCTGGGCGATATTGCACAATATTGTTATGCACATCTAATCAGTAAAGCCGGTTCCTTGATAAGTAGAAAATCACCTTCACCTGCTTTCAGATGGACGATATGATGCAAATAGGAGTGTTAAATTAACACTCAAGAGTGTTAAAGTTAATGAGATAATTAAGTGATTAATTTAGTGATGATTGAGGATTATTGAAGACACCTGATGTTAACAAGCAGAATCACTGAAGGACAAAATCACAAATTGTAAGCCACCGTTATGGAGATCAGTGTTTGCTTTAGTTGGGCTCTTGACACTTATACTTTCACTTTAAATTTTGTTTGCCTGTTGATATTGACTTATAACAGTCAAATGAACAAAGGCAACTGTGATCTGATAGTGTTGGTTATGTTTTGACATAATCATGCAATGATCTGAAAAATGAAACTTATTCAGATGATTTGTTTAACTTTTAACTATGGTTTTGTGGTTCTGCTGCATATCTGTATTTTTCTTATAACCTAACATATTTAATAAAAAATATTCTGATCAAATCACTGTCATCTTTATTCAGAAACACAGAGATCAATAATCAGCCTGTCTATCTCAACCATGGTGACATGTTGCCACCAATCACAACTCAGTAATGTCTCCCATCATGCATTGCGGTTTGAATAAATTATGATCTGAATTGTCTATGTAATTTACTTTTCCTACTTGAATATTCTGCTCGTCACCGTTGTTGAGAAGCATTGACTGAATCTTGAAGTCTGTGTGTGCCTTAAAGAAAGATTTAAAAAAAAAAAAAAAAACTTCTGAGAAATGCATTATATTATATATTTAACATTCTGGATGATTATCCAGACTCTCAGTTATACATTAACAAAGAGAATAAATCACAGACATAAATTTTACATGATGAAAGTCATTATATAACCAACATCTTTTTACAATTTTTTTATCTTAGCTCATCTGACAGGTTTAACTCAGATGTAACAGCAAATAAAAAATATAAAATTTTTGATATAAGTGTCAAGAGCCCAACTAAAGCAAACACTGATCTCCATAACGGTGGCTTACAATTTGTGATTTTGTCCTTCACCGATTCTGCTTGTGATCATCAGGTGTCTTCAATAATGCTCAATCAGCACTAAATTAATCACTTAATTATCTCATTAACTTTAACACTCTTGAGTGTTAATTAACAGTATCGTCCATCTGAAAGCAGGTGAAGGTGATTTACTACTAATCAAGGAACCAACTTTACTGATTAGATGCGCATAACAATATTGTGCAATATATTGCCCAGCCCTAGTTCAGAGGTGATCTCTCTCTATATCTATATATACTGCTATAATCCATAAGATAAACTTAATTCAGAAATTTGCATCTGTATGAGTTCAATGATTCAGGTCAAATCATTGTGATATAATGATTATGTGAAAACACAACCAACATCCACAGATCACATTTTCTAGTTGATGATCTGGCTGTTACAGCTCAGACAAAATCAAAAGTAAATAATGTGGGGGTCAAGAGCCCAACTAAAACAAATACTCATCTCCATAATGGTGACCTTAAATTCCGGTTTTCTCCTTCAGTGATTCTGCTTGTTAACATCAGGTGTCTTCAATAATGCTCAATCATCACTCAGTTATTCACTTAATTGTCTCATTAACTTTAACACTCAGCTCAGAGTTTGATTGGATGGCTTAAAATGACTTCCATGATGTTGAAGTTACATGAACAAATTATGTTTGTTTAACAAAACAAAGTTATGTGCAACCGGTGGAACCTGTTTACATGAAAAAATTAAGTAAAGCCAACACATCATTTTTTTCAGTGTATGTTGGAATATAAAGTTAAAAAGTACATACAGGAAAGATTCTATGCAAGTATGCACATTTATACTGATGGATCTAAAGATCCAAGAACAGGAATTACCGGAATAGGAGTGTATATTCCAGAGTTTACAATATCAATATCGAAACGATTAACATCTAAACTGTCAATATATACGGTGGAAATGGTTGCTATTAAAATAGGATTAACATGGGTAGAGGAGGTAAGACCAGACAGAATAGTGATATGCTCTGATTCTGCTTCTGTATTAACATCACTAGTTACTCATTGTACGGCCAGAGAAGATTTGATGAGTGAAATATTATCATTATTATGGCGAATACAAAGAAAAGGGGTAGAAATTGGGTTCTGTTGGGTACCAGCGCATGTAGGAGTAGCTGGTAATGAATTTGCTGATGAATTAGCAAAAAATGCTTTAAAAAGGGAAGAAATAGATTTTAATATTCCATTAAGTAAAAGTGAAGTTAAAACTATCATTAAGGAAAATATTATCAAAGAGTGGCAGGAAAACTGGAATACAGATAATAAAGGGCGGTATTTATATAATATTAAAAAAATGGTAGAATCTAAGAAAAGTATAAATGGTAGAAATAGAAAAGAAGAAGTCATATTGACTAGGATGAGACTTGGTCACTCAAGATTGAACGCAACACTCTTTATAATTGGAGCTCATGAGACTGGTTTATGTGAGAATTGTGGGGAGAAAGAAACAGTGGAGCATGTGTTATATGATTGTAAAAGGTATGAAGAGGAAAGAAAGGATTTGATAACCTATTTAAATGGAAGAGGGAAAGTTAATAAGGATTTGGCATACCTTTCTTTCCCATTCTGACATTCAGTTTGGAGTTCAGGAGATTGTCTTGACCAGGACCACACCCCTAAATGCATTGAACTGCCATTGGTTGATCAGATAATTGCATTAATAAGAAATTGAACAGGTTTTCCTAATAATCTTTTACAGTCAAACCAAAATTTGGTCAAGAACTCAGAGTTATCAAATCACTTGTTATGGTCATCCTTCTTTAGACTGTTTCACAAAAGAATTTGAATAGCTGTCAGCTGTTAAATTTAAGTTCACAATTAGATAATGCCAATTTAGGTCAACCATTTACCAAGAAATGCCTAGTTTTGTTCAGTCTGTGTTGTAAAAAGGTTGCATTAGCAATTAAAGAAAAAACACTTAAGCAAAACATGGTCAAGTCAAAGAGTAAGAATAATTTTTGGTCCCAAATTTTTATACATTTTACTGGTAGCCCACAATATGAAGAATTCCAGGGTATAATATGTCACAGTTTACTTTATTTTGCTATCCTCACTTACATGAACTATAGTGTTCTGCACCCACTAGTAAGAAAAATAAAAAAATATATCTGGTATAAAGCATTTTTGCTGACTTTACATTTCAATTTTTTTCAAAAGAAGCACTCAAAAAAATCAAAATACACAAATTATCTTTTTTTGTTTTAATTGAACACTGACATGATGTGCAACATGTATTCAAAAATTCAACCTCTTAATTCATATGTTAGCGGTCCAGCTTACACACTATATATCAAAACAGAAATGCCACAGGAAGCAAAAGAGGACATGAAACTCTTGTGGTTTCATATATGAGGTAATAAATTAAGCAGTGAGGCACGTCTGTTCTTGTTTTCCCCATCACCCTGCTGTAAATTTCCATATTCATATGTGCATGAGGTAACAAATGTTCTTATATCAGTATAAATCATTCCTGTGGTGGTGGCACACATAGTTACTCTGCTTATGTGCAATCAGAAAAAAGAGGAAATGAATAGAGAAATTTTGTGCTTTTGGAGTGAAAAGCCACATGACATCTTTGAAAGGGCTGGAAAATCCCAATGCTTAAAAAAAGAAATGCTTACGGACCATTACTAGCAACATTTTAAAGTGCAAGCTATCTGACGACATAAAAAGTGATTTGAAAATAACAGAATAGAACTATACTGACTGAACGAAGAGAAACATGAGAACTGTGATGTTCTCCTCAGAATAAATATGCAATGAGTGCATTTCCATATTTCATCATGCATAATACGTGAAATCACTGAACATATATAGAGCAAGATCACTTAATAGAAGTAGCTTTCAGTCATATTCACATTGAAATTAATAGTCATTATCGCTTATTTGAGTGTGTACCAATGGGTTCTCCATATCCAGGTTAGTGGATGTAAAGCTTTGCCTAGCAGGTCTTTGTAGGCCTGGTTAAACTGCCGGTTCATGGCTGCATACAGCAAAGGGTTAATGCAACTATTTAACCAAGTGAGGTTTGCACAAATCATATGAACGACCTGTGGTGCGCGATTGGCCTTATCGGCAACATTTAGCAGCAGAAATGGAGCAAAGCAGCCGACAAAACACAAAAAGACTGTGAAACACATCCGAGTCACGCGTTTAAATTCATTGTCCTCTCCTGAGTTGGCAGCTGGAGTGATCTGGACTGCTACCGGAGCTGGTTTAGAAGATGTTTCCACCCCATTTGGGGAAATTTGAATGGTACTTATGGAGGTTTTTGACTCTTGTGTGGTTGTGTGGCCTTCTTGCGCCCTGTCCTTATGCTGCTCTGCTCCTGTCCCTTCATTGCTGATCTCACAGCTTTGAGTCGTTGAGGCTCCGGCACTGATCCCGCTGTCATCTGTTGTTCCTTCTGCTTCAGCCCTCTTGCGTTTTGATGAGTGGCGACTGGGCCTGTACTTCAGGAAAGCCTTGGAGGCTACGCTCACCTTACGGTAGATCAGAAAGTAGAAAAGACCCACGCAACCAAGGCCCAGGAAGAAGTACATGAAAAGCAGCACGGTGGTGTAGGGCCGACCCTTAGTGCGGTGAAAACTGCAGGTGCACACTTGCGGGGTGAACACGTAGACGGGCCAAAGTGGGGCGAAACTGACCAGACCCAGTACCCAGGAGGAGATGAGGAGCACCGCCACTCCACGGTGGGACAGGAGCAGACGGGCACAGCGAGAAGTGCGATGCGCAACAACCAGGTAACGGCTCATTGCGATGAGGCATAATGTTATAATGGACACGCTGTTGGACAGGAACAGTAAGAATCCAAACATCTGGCACCACGTGGCTCCGCCCCTCCATTGCAGGTGCAGATATGAGTCAACACTGACAGGTTGGAGCATAGTGCAGTATAGGAGGTCAGCGAAGGCAAGATTCACTATGAGAACATTGAAACGTGTCCTCAGGTTGACATCAGTAGCAAAGGCGAGCACCGTCAGAATATTCCCTATGGTTCCTACAATGGTCACAGCCGATCCCAAGAGGACGCCGAAATAACGGTAGCCCTCTACAGAGGGTGACGCACAAGAAAAGGAATCATTTCTTAGATAATCTGTGTCGTTCCACATCCTAGAAAGAAACGAAACGTTAAGCTCATCAAATATCAATGTAACATCCACGTGGCATAGTAACCTCAAACAACCTGTATGAGTCTTTTATTGACCGCATTTCAATTTAAGAGCAGTCACAATTCAACATTTCTTCTAAATGGACAACAAATGTGGAGATTTTAATAGAATGCCTTTTGATCTTAATATAAACTGAGACACATTCTGCAACATGACATCATGACTTTCGAGTCAAGTGGCGTGTTATCTCTACGCATTTTGAGCTATCCGCGTGTATGCGTGTATGTCTACGCCATTAACGTCCGAGTGATTCCGTGTGTCTGTACACGCCGTCAAATGTCCGCGTGAAACAAAGCAAAATGTAGATCTACATCTGAGGAGCGAATTTATTTATTTATTTATTTTTTTTCCTAGGATGGTAAGGGAACAGTCATAAATGCCATTAACCCATGTGACGATTAGGTTTAGGAAGTCAGGGACAGGGTTGAGGTAAGTCATCTTTTTTTTTTCCTAGGATGGTAAGGGAACACTCATAAATGCCATTAACCCCAGTGACGGTTGGGTTTAGGCAGCCCGTTCTCATCCTTTAACGTCATATAGAACGCTATATGACAAAACGGCGCTATACTACGCACATGGCACCCTTTATCGTTAATATAACACGCGAACCCAAGACGTTATAAATCCTTTAGCGTAAATATGACACGCACACCCTACCCCACACCTAAACTTAGCCCTCACAGCATGTGTTATATTAACGATAACGGGTGCCATGTGCGTATTATAGCGCCGTTTTGTCATATAGCGTTCTATATGCCGTTAAAGGATGAGAATGCGTTGGTTTAGGGACGGGGTTGAGGTAAGTAATATATTTATATATATAGTAATAACGTTAAATCAACGGCGTTCATAAACACGCTGAAAAGCGATTATGCGTCTTGATAGCACGCCAAAAATTGAAATACGAATTGGCGCGTCATACACACGCTACTTAATGAGATCAGTCTGCATTAAAATACATTTTTAAATATTTTATAAAAATTTACCCAAGTGCCCAGAAATCACATTTAATCACATTTCTCACACAAAAAAAAACATTCCACTGTAAGTTAAATTAATTAGGCTAGATATTACATGTAATCTCATAGTAAAACAAATTGATTAAGTGTAATTTTATTTGTGCAAAGATGAGTCGGCTGTATGTTTTTTGTACAACATTTTCAAGTCCTTTGTATCACTAAATTGGAAGCTCCACAATTTTAAATTGTGTCTTCTGTCGCATTGGACTTCTGACCAGACATTTAGAAGTTTATTTTAAAATGCAAAGTACTGAAAATCAAAATAAAGCTGTAAAGATGTATATCTGTTAACGGGGTAAACCTATGGAATAATTGTTATAAGAAATTAAAATTGTGTACTTCACTCTGTAAATTCAAGAAAAAAACAAGGTGATAAATAATTATATAACTCAATATGAATAATTTGAGTCTGTCATATGTAAACTATTGTAATAATATCACCTTTGTAATCATTTATGTCAATTTTGGACATTGTCTTTTGTATGAACCAAATCCAGAGAGAAAAGTGATACTTATTAAATAATTATGTATAAAGGGTTGGCATAATAAGCATATTAGGCTTCAGCCTACACCTTTTTCAGTTGTTGTAGCATGTATTTTTTTCTTAACTACCTTTATCTGTGGAACATTATCTTTGAGTGCCGAAATGGATTTTTGTTGAATTGTTAAAAATTGCAATTGGGTATTCGGAAAGGCCCATAGTCAATAGGTGTGTTCGACTTAAAGTGCCGCTTCAAGTTAAACACAATGCTGACGATTAGCCTACCCTCACGTCCGGATCACAGAAATATTCAGAACAACATCGCTCTTTATTTCTAAGTATGTTGTACAATTATTTATCCTTTAGTTATCTCTCATTAGATGAGAGTAAATTGTGTAAATTATTTTGGTGTGCTAAACTCAAGTAATTATAGGATAGGACAGGTTCACCCAAAATTTGAAATAAGATATTTTGATGAACCAAACAGAACACTTATACATTTCCACAGAAGAAAGAAAGTCATACAGGATTGTAACAACTCAAGGAACTAAATGGTGACAGGTTTTACATCTTTAGGTGAACAATCTGTGTTAGCACATTTGCAAATATAGCATATAAATTATATGTTGAACGATTGTCAGACATCCATTTAATTTTTTTTTTAAAAACACAGTTAAAAGATTCATTAGTAAAAAAATAATGTATAAAAAGGTCATTTTTGGCTGTCCGTGGCTTACCTTGCTACAGCTGTGGTGTCCATCCTCTATTCTTTGGTTCTCTTTACCTCTTCCTGATTTTATAGCTAACCCTATACTTTGTTCCCCTAAAAGTTTTCTTTTAAAATAGACCCTCCAGCCACGCCTCATTTCTGTACTGATGTTTGAACACAACACTGCGTGTGTGTGTGTGTGTGTTTGAGACGTTCATGCTCAGATGTGACTCAACCGTTTCACAATCCTGGAAGAAATTTACACAGTAATGGTATTTTGCCAATAGATGTGAAGCAACAAAGAAAAGGAAAGTTGGTAACAAAATAAAAACTTTGCAAAATAAGCAAACTTTCTACTTTGATGATTCAAATCTTTTTTTGTCATTCACAAAAAGCAGCTTGGCTAATCAAATAAAATTTAGAATTTCTGTCATCCTTGAAATCGCTGTTCTCTTCTGTGTGTTCCTCTTTTATGTATGTCATTAAGGTTGAAACTGTTCAAACAATTCTAACAACCACCATCTTCGCTGAAACATAATTGTCAGTTTGCTTTTTAAATGAAGGTTTATGATACCAGCGCAATATGACGGAGAACAAACAAAGTGTTTACACATTACACACCAAAATATAGTTCTACAAGCAGGCTGATAAACGTTGCATAATGAATTGCACTGTCAGTTTATTTGCATGTAATGTTTCTTCCATGTCCATAAATGAAGCAAATCAGTGGCAATAATGAACTTGGAATAAATTTCAACTTCAGCTTTGCAAAAACTAAATCTCTAAATCATGATGGCACAGCTGTATTTGCTTAAGATAAGCATGCTTTACTAGGAAACCACACAAACTCCCGAAAACATTAAAGGTGCCATGTGTCAAAAAAAAAATCAAATCATACTCCATATTCCATACCAAATGGGGGCAGTATACCTCTAGAAAGTGAGTTGTGCCGCTCTCACGTCTTCAAACCCCAAAAAACACAAGCGAGCGCTGTCTTGCTCTCTCTCCCTCGCGCATATTATTCAAATCAATTGACACAATAAAAGGTTGGAAGACCGCAGTTTCACGTGGGAGCATTTGGAGATTTTTAGAGATTAGAGACTCAATGAACAACATCTCAAAACTAAATTATAAAGGCCGTCTCATAGACTACTGTCTCAAATACAAGCCGGTTCAGGCAAGTTCATTTTGGGGGGAAAAAAAGCCGGGGCTATTATTTGACGTTTTATGGTATTCGTTTTGTTCATTTTACATTTTTATTGTTAGTTTGAATTAATTTCAACTCTCACAAATTCACCGTGAGACACGCAATTTTCACTTTTCACACACTCTCATGCCACTCATCAATTTTGTCATGCACAGAAAAGGACACGGAGACCGACAGACTAGACAGAGCAGGTTCGTTATGATATACAAAAAAATCTCAGCTCTCAGATTCTGTCACTTTTATTGCGCAATTCGAACAATAAATACCGTTTTGCCACTTGTAAGTTAAATGTTACACGACAGATCCCTAACGCACGTGAACCGATCATCTCTACTAGTTAATGGTAAAAGAACACAAACACTGTTGAAAGATACAGTGTGCTACAACTTACCAAAATGAATTCTTCATGCCTAATATTGACCAATCTTTTTTTTTTTTTTTAGCTCTTCCCTGAACTGAAATGTAGTTGTTGGCTGTACTTTCCACATGATCATCAGGTTCAAGTACACCCATTCATGACATCAGGTTCAAGTACACCCAAAACAAGTCGTGCGAGTTATTAGTTTGGTGGTTAGTTGGTGGTTACTGTATGTTGCCCGCCCGCATACCGCCTCCCATGGCCGAAATTGGTATTATGACACCTGCCGGGTGGCCGGGCAGGGGTTAGCAATTTAGCATGCTAATTCAGTTTAATATCTCTGCAGCACTAACTTGTCATTTTTTAATGACATCATCAACCTTATTTCTTCTCATTTTTTTTGATGTGTGTAGCTCAGTGGCGGCTGGTGAAAAATATCTTAGGTGGGGCTGTATCATATTTGGCATTTTCAATAGTCTGGTAACCATGGGACTCCTCCTCAAGGCTTCAAATTGTACAAATTTTGGATTAATTTAAGATAATCTTGATAGACAAAACTTGTAAGGGTCACAATTCTTTGTTGAACACTAATCTTATTTTTTTTTTTTGCAATTTTCCAAAAGTCTATGGGGAAAATTCATTACTTTTCGTTCGAGGGAACCATGCGCCGCTAACTTCCGAGTTGTCCTACAAAGTGACGTCATAACTTCGGCACTCTATTGCGCTGCGTACTCGATACGCATTTTGAGGCTTCAGTGTCAAATGTAACATCACTACTGTGCTCACATTGCTGAGATGCTGAGATTTATTACAGCATTAAAAGACAGATAGTGTTTAGAAGTATTTAATGATTCTTTTCAAATCCATGATATCATTAGGCCCTATACAGTACATTGCTTATTATATGTTCAGTAATTTGGTTACATAAATATTAATTTAAACTCAAAGAAATTGCCATTAATTGTTCAGCAGAAACATATGTGATCACAAATGAAGACATCAATTTTAAATTCCATGTCATTGTTATATTAACAATTTTATATAAGAAATGTAGCTACATTAAAAAAAAAGGTAAATGAAGATTTTTTTTAAAAGTGCCTACAATTAATCTAGCTGGTTACAGTTAGTACAAACAAAAGAGAGAGAGAGATACAAATACTACTTAAGGAGTGAGATATGTGCTGTTGTTAAACTTATGATGAAAATAAACAATATACATTTACACCCCTGAGTGTAGTCAGTGCAGCCAATCTTTGACAGACTGTTTGCACTGCAACGTTTCCAAAGCAGCGCTGAAGTAAAATCTCTGGTAGAACAGGCAGATAAAGATGTTTTCGCACCTGACTTGTGTTCAAGTGAGATGCTTATAAACCTGTTTTTGAGGAATCCGGGGAGTTATGGTATACTTCACACTGCAGAGACAAAAAAACAAAAGTGAGTTGGAGCAAGAAAGATTTACTTTTGGTTTTTACATTTTTGGACAAGCAAATTGTAGACTATGTTTAATGCAAGTTATGGTGTGCAGTAATAAAACATAGCCCACCAAATAAAATGGTAATAATGAAATAAGAAAACATCAAAGCAAGTGGCATTTATTTTAAATACTTTTTTTTAAGAAAGACATTTTGAATGTTATGTTAAATAAGAGAATAAATGATAAAATGTCAGTGTATACAGTAGAAATGCTGGCCATTCTCTTAGCCCTTGAGTGGGTTGAAAAAAGTAGGTCAAGGGTCAGGTTCAAGTAGTGCGTTAATCAGTATTAAGAACATGCAATCAGAAGCAAGACGTGATATTTTGTTGGAAATAGTCCAAGCTGTTTATAGAATTAATAGAGTAGGAGTAGTCAAATTCATCTGGATTCCAGCCCATATAGGAGTAGGAGGAAATGAAATTGTAGACAAATATGCCAAAAATGCAACAAAAAAACTGAGATAGATATGGTAATAAGTTATAGTAAGGCAGAAGTTAAACGCATAATCAAAGAAGAAATGAGAAAGAAGTGGAAAGAGGAGGGGAATAAAGAAACAAAAGCAAGAATGTATTACAGTATTCAGAAGAGGGTAGGAGGTATGAGAGAAAATAATAGGAATAAAAGGGAAGATGATATTATTTCAAGAATGAGATTTGGGCATACTGGTTTGAATAGTACGCTTAAATTAATAGGGAAACATGAAACTGGGATGTGTGAGGTCTGTAATATTAACGAAACAGTAGAGCATGTTATTATTAATTGTCATAAGTATAAGGAGGAAAGGATGAGGCTGAAAAACTGGTTTAGAAAAGAAAAAATTCTATTTGAAATGAAGGAACTATTACAAATGAATTCAGGGCATGTGCGGTATAGAGCGATATTTGTGTTTTTGAGTAAAACAGGGCTTAGTTGAAGGATATGAGTTTAGTTGTCTTAGAAAGTTGTATTTAATGATAATGTATGAATATTAATAATAAAGTTATTTATTGGTTTTATTATGGATTCATGGATTTATTTATATATTTATTTCAAGGGTAGTGAGGAAATGCTATTGTGATCCACACTCCAAATCAGAAGGTGGCGGTAATGCGCACTTAAAAGTTGTTTGCCAACCGCCATTAAAAGAAAAAAGAAGAAGAAGAATAAAGACATTTCGAGAATTTTAGGTTGAAAATGATGCTGCGTTCACGACACGTGCTATGGAAAATTGGATATTTTCCACTTGTGAACTGGTTTTTACCAGTGTGTTGCGTTCAAGTGCTTTTGTTGTCGTAATGTGGTAAAAAGATGGAGATCCAGACCTGTTATTTAGCTAAAACTATTTTAGATTGCTTAAGTCATCTGCAACAGCAAGAAAATGATTTATCAAAACTCAAAAGGTAAATAATATGCTGTATATTTTCTAAATCATGAATAGTATATATATATTTTTTTTACCATTCACGACTCGCGGTGTTCTCCGCCAAAGGTTATCTCATCTCGGCAACTCATCCATCAAAATATTCTACGAGTTGCCCAGTGGTAAATACCACATGAGGGGGTGTTCATGTGCATTTTCCACGTCGGCTTTTGCTATTTACCATAATTACCATAGCACATGAACGCACCATGAGGGTCCAAAGGTTCCTATGCACAATTCCGCTATAGTTTTTTTTTTTTTTTTTTTTTTTTTTACTCAAAGCTCGAGGCTCATCTAAGGACAGCAAGCCAAGTTAGTTTACTTAACCTTTAAGGCTGAATAGGTAGGTGAACTTGTGAAATGAATACAAAACAATAGATTCAAAATGAAGACAAAAACTGACTTCATACATGCTTCCATAAGTAAAGTAATCTGGGAAAGTGACTAGCACCATTAGTTTGCAGATGCCACATAGTTTGATATTTAGCTTTTAAGACAGCAACTCTTTTATAAGTGAAGTTTGTGTTTCTTTGTGTATTATGGAAATGAATGTGTTTGGGCTTACCGACACAGCGCTGTGTGTAATCACTGCAGCAATTTGTTGTGCAGTTAGTATTACAGTTGCAGCGATATGAAGAGTTGTACTTCTCGTTGCATCTTCCCCTACAGGAGGTTGAGGCTGCACATACAGACAAGCATTAATCAAACAAGTATCCTTTGAGTTGAATATATGAGTGTAGGTGTCTGAGAGAGAGTTTTACTTAGGCTGGCAGAGGAGCATGATTTTGGAGGGCTGAAGGTGACAAATCCCGGCTGGTTCTGACTGATGTTGTTTGTGATCCAAGACTGATATCGAGACACACGGGTGTAAACCCCAGGAGAGTTGGGATCGGCACAGCCATACCCCCAGCTGGTGATACCAGCCTGTACCCACACTTTACACTGCTGACTCACCATTGGACCACCAGAGTCACCCTACAGAGAGGGACAAAAAGAAAGACAAAGGAGATGGAGTTTTTTTTTGAGAGAGAGAGAGAGAGAGAAGGAGGGGGGCTCTTTTATCAAGATGGGACGGTGACATGCAACAGAAAAAGGGCAGTTCGGGTTCGCACTCCAACCTGTGCCCCACAGGAGCACTACAGCCCTTCTGTCGATCTTATGTTTCATGTATATTTACACTACTGGAGCTATTCAACAACAAGCATTTACACTAAATGAGCAATGTGAATTCCAGAAATATAGTTAAAAGTGGTCTCTTGAATGTTATATGGTAGCTGTACAAGCTTACGTTATTTGTAGTAATAATCTGATTGTGGTTTGTAGTACCTGGCAGGTGTCTTTGCCTCCCTGCGTCAAACCAGCACAGATCATGTTGCTGGTAACAGATCCAGAACCCAGCAAATTATTACATCGAGTGTTGTCAACGACTGGAACCATAGTTTCCTGCAGAATCCCAGGAGCAGCTAGGCTCACTGAACGTACGCAAGCGCACAGATTATTATAAATAAAAGATGTTATAAATTGATGCAAACGTGAATTTATGAGTTTGTGTGTGTTTTCTACCTCCAGATTGAACATCTCCCCATCCTGTGATCCAGCTACTGGTGCCGGCACTGAAGACGCTGTTCTGGGCTGCCAGACAAACAGGTTTAATGTAGTTATTGAAGGTAACTCTTGAGGACAGGCGCAGCAGAGCGATGTCATTGTCATTTGTGTTGCTGTTGTAGGAGGGGTGAACGATTTTCGTTCTCACAGTTCTTAGGACTTCATTGGGATTTGTTCCCTGCTGTGTCCTCCTTCCCAAGTACACACGCAGACTGGACGTGCTGATCCTGAATACAGTCAGAATACATGAAAGTGAGAAGAACAAAACAATATACCAAATACCTTCTACAAATAAAAATAAATGAATTAAAAATGAGTTTTGATGTAAATTTTACCCAGGTAAACAGTGAGCTGCCGTCAGCACCCATTCATTGTTGATGAGGGATCCTCCGCAAAAATGACCTCCATAGGCGGTGCTGTGCAGACTGACCTGCCACGGCCACGATCCATCAGGAGCATTCACACCACCCACAATACGGGTGTTTAGAGGGGCTTGTCCACAAACTATGAGAGAGAAAGAGAGGAGAGTGTTTGTTCACATTAGCATATCTACATTAACTATTTGACTTGATGTCAACATCTGAAGAAAGAGAGAAGCTCTTACCATTCAGCTGAGAAAGTGAACCTGCAAGGGCAGAAATGAAGTGTACATTAGAATACCAGTAATTCATTTAGATTTTGTTCTTAATAATGACACTGCTAGAGATACCTGCTATGATAATGGCAAATTAAACTCATGAGACTGAACGTGCGTAAAACATCTGTGGGCAAACCGGTTTGATTACACACAATAAGCACAATTAACAGCACTGTTTCCCTATTCAAAAAGAGACATTCTGCTAGTACATTCCATATGCATGGTAGGTTTGGCTCACAGTATAAAACAATTATTTGTTTCTGTAAAAGTGACAAGAAAGAAATTTTTTTTTTTTGGATTATTAAAAGTATGTTGCACAGAAAGAGAATTTAAACAGATGCAAAGATGTCCTCTTGGGGGAATGCAGGATTGGGCCGTTCAGCCCAAATAAGTAAGGTAGGGCCCAGGGCAGGGAACGTTCTCAGATCATTGGCTAACGTTCTCTGAAGGTTCTCTGAAAGTTATCAAAAACGTTCTTGCTGTAACGTTATTATAACGTTGTGCCAACGTTATATTACATTGATAAACGTTCTAAAGACGTTAGCATTAAAACGTTATCCTCACGTTGTTATTGGAATGTTTCAAAAACGTTATTATAACCAAGAAATAACGTTAACACAGTGTTTATATAACGGGAGAATTGAACGTTCTAATAGCACTTTCAAAAACATTCTTATAACCAAGAAATAACGTTAATACAACGTCTAAAAAACTGGACATTTTGAACGTTCCTACAACATTCAGAAATAACGTTTTTATAACTCGATGGGAACGTTATGAAAACGTTCTTAGAACCTAAAATTTTTAGCTGGGGAATCCCCCGGTAGTGCGTCATCACAACCGTGTCCCCCATCCGAGTCAGAAGGGTCAAGCTCCGCACACTGGGTAGCGGCAACTTTAAGACGGCTTCTTAGGCAGCATAAGGCAATGACTGCAATTCTCAAGGTTCTCCAAGGCCTCCTGAGCGTGTTTGAGACCCAAGCAGACGACGCAGAATGAGTGCAGGTCCTTAGCGGCGATGAGAGAACCAACCGTGATAGGAGGAGTTGGTGAGAACGGCGAGAGCGCGGGCGGATAAAGATGGAAAACACAGCTGATAGGCTGAAAAACAAAAGTCATGTCTGCGGAGGCTGATCAGGCGATATGTCCTCCTGATTCTAGACAATTCCCTCCTGTTTCTAGACAAACAATTGTATTTGTACAGACTAGAGCTCATCACCTTCGCTTTGCAATATCAATCCAAATGTTATGTCGTTACTATAGATAAAGGTTGGGAATGAAGACATCTGTTGTTTTATACATTTATGTATGAGAAAAACACATGGTCCGTAGTTTCGACATCATTTTCACAGAATGTACATGTGTTATCATCTATACCAAGGCGAAGTCTCAGTAATTCTTTAGAGGGGTAAATGTTCATTACTTTTCAGTGTGTTTCTTTCACTTTTGGAGGTATAGTGAGTGTTAGATACATTGTTCTTAGTTGAGTAATTGAATCTTTATAACATTTTTGTTTTGCCTTATTTTTATTTTTCCTTTCAAGGTATTCAGTACGTTTGGTCGTGACATATGAGGACTGAAACTAGCGCGCAACATCAACGTCATCGTTCTCAGCCACTCCCCCTGTTCACTGATTGGACTGGAAACACCAAAGAATACAACACACAATCGCAGGTAGTACTGAAGGAAAATGAAAATTTTGCGGAAATATGTAGGAGGGCGGAGCCAGGCTAGAGAAATGCATTCACTCACAAATTTCATGTTAATGAGTAAGTCATGCACTTATTTTGAAGTGGCACCATTTAGGTAGGGAGGGTTGTACTGACAGCAAAACTGTTTCAATGGGGAAAAACTATAACCTCAAATAAAAATAACTATTAATATTTATAATAAAACTTTATTATGACAACTTTGGGGCACTATTCAATAGCCTATCTAACATTAGAGTAAACTTTACTTTGCAATGTGTAGAAAATCGGATATCAATAAAACAAGTAGGACTTCTACAGTCATCAGCCTCTATCTAACAAACTATACACGTTTTTAGACGTTAGAACTTAGGCCTATCTGTATTTAAATGACAGGAACTTAAAATAAACATTACATGGTTAAAAACAAAGAACAGTTTGTTGAGAACATTCTAATCACACCAGTGCAATCGCACACCTCAAATGGTTAAATATTAAAAGTAAAAATCTATAAAATTGTTAATGATTCTGTTAATGAATCATTATTTTTATAGCCCTTAGACTGCTCTTATGTGCGGTGCCACAAAGAATATTATCAAAATATATTCACTTCTTTTTATATGTATTATGTATTTGTTGAAGGGATACTTCACTTTTTTTGGAAATAGGCTCATTTTACCACTCCCCCAGAGTTAAACATTTGGGTTTTACCGTTTTCAGCTGTATTCAGCTGATTTTCTGATATTTAGGAGAATATCAATAACCAGACAGTTTCTGGTCTCATTGACTTCCATAGTATAATTTTTTCCTACTATGGAAGTCAATGAGACCAGAAACTGTCTGGTTACTGATATTCTTCCAAATATTAGAAAATCGGCTGAATGGATTTGAAAACGGTAAAACCCAAGTGTTTAACTCTGGGGGAGTTGTAAAATGAACCTATTTCCAAAAAAAGTGGAGTATCCCTTTAACAGTTATCCTCGCTTTAATATATCATAAGATCTTACCTTTTACAAACATGAGCAGGGTCAAAATCACACACGTCGTTCTCCGCATCTTCCCAGTCACTCTGTGCCCTTAGCAGGATGCTGGTGGTAATTTGGTACAAAGTGACTCTTACAGTCTTGTTTATATAGTTGTGCTTCTCAAATTGCTCTTTTTGTCACTCACTCACCTGCCCACTTCTTTTCTCATAATGCTCCTCCTCCATTTTTTGTCACCCTGTTTCATTATTATCATTCTTTTATGCCAAAGATGACAAGCAAATTAGCCACAGCTCACTGAGAATTTTTCTCAGTAAGAACATCGCTGAGAACATTTTGCACTTGTATGCATTGTTAAGGTATGATTGTGCAGATTCGCAACAGGAAACATCTATTAGGTCATTGTTTGAGCTTTCTGCTCATTTGATATTTCGTAATTTTTCAAAAGATTTTCAAACTGGCCCAACAAGTGTATTTCAGAATAAAAAGCAAAAATGTGAAATGGCAAAGGAAAAAATCTTAAGACATCATGACAACACATTCTTTCTGTCTTTTTTTCTTTTTGTATTTCTTTCCTTGCTTTATTTTTGGTAACACATACATAAAGAAAAAACTTTAAAAAGCAATGAGCTGTAGTGAATGATTACGTATAGCAACTTATTGTCAGATGCCAACCATTGTTACTCTTTCTGTCTTTTTTTTGTCTTTCTTTCCTTGCTTTATTTTTGGTAACACATATATCAAGAAAAAACTTTAAAAAGCAATGAGCTGTAGTGAATGATTACGTATGGCAACTTATTGTCAGATGCCAACCATTGTTACTCTTTCTGTCTTTTTTTCTTTTTGTCTTTCTTTCCTTGCTTTATTTTTGGTAACACATACATAAAAAAACTTTAAAAAGCAATGAGCTGTAGTGAATGATTACGTATGGCAACTTATTGTCAGATGCCAACCATTGTTACTCATAAAAGACTAACACAAGATTACTGAGTCAGTTTGTGTTGAAATCGGGACTCTGAACAGGTTCAGAGAACGGAAACAAACTGGAAATGAACAATTTTAGACATAACTTTGTATGCAACAAATCAGCTCATTGTCTGCCTGATTTGTCTGATATTTAGTTTGCTGCTTACACTTTAATTTTTAGAAGTTGTATAATTTGTAGTAGGCTAACTTGTAAATAGAAATGTTAGGGTTAGAGTTGAATTTTTTTGTGGTTATCAATCATTGAGCTGAAGAGCTACATGAAGGTAAACACTACATTGACCCCAATGGCTATGTTACAAATGTAATATCCTCTTTCATTAAATGTATGAGCTAAATAAGTTACTATTAGCATGTGCTATGATAATATCTGTATTTAACTGAAATAGATGTTTAATTGGTTCCAAGACTCTTCATGTAATTGGAGCAACTTATCTAACAAATTATGAAGTTCCTCTAACTCAGTGTTGGTTGGTTGGACATAATTTTAACACATTATTTTTTTAATATTGTGTATTCAGTAACAGTTATTCAGTGTTAAGTAAGAAGGCAAAAAAAAATCCTTTTCCAAAGGCTCCTACATATTTGGTTTGTTGAACATCATCTTTTCAGCATCAGACCGTTTTGTCTATATTGTTAGCCTAATATACTCTCTCTGGACACTGACACTAAAATTGAATTATAGCATTCGTCATTCTGGTTTTATGCTCTGCCTCAAAAATTGTCTTGAGTTTCTCAAATTTTATTCCAAAAACAAGACTTTGTAAAGCTCGGCTAGATCGGTCCAATGGAGGCATCTGGTCAGCGGGTGAAGGTTGCGTATTGTTATCTTTTCACATGGCAAAGTATTGTGGGTTAAATGCAATACATGTTTCATACGTATTCTCTAGTTATTTCATCTGACTCCATAAATGAAAAGGTTTTGAATGATATCTGTGCATCATTAAATATAAGCGAAAGTTTGACTAATTCCTTTTAACTCTAATGACATAATATCAAAGTCAGTTAGAATCATCAAATGTAACAATTTATTATGTCAGGTAAATTTATCATTCTAATTTCATAATCATTTCCTATGGAGAAGATCCGTAATGTATTGAGGCGCCTGACCATTTAACCCCTTAAACACGTATAATAATACCTTGAACTTGACATGGTATTCGACCGGCTACCAGTGAAGCGAAACAAAAACAGGCAAAATAGTCTACATAGTCTATCCCTTTAAAGGTGCAGTATGTAATTTTAAAATGGTTGAACATACAGTACACAAGAGTATATATGCGCTGTCTTGGGGAAGGCTCAAAGCTAAAAGTTTGGTCTGACTCTAAAAATAATTGTGATTTTTATGGTAAAAGACTTTTAAAAAGCTACAGTGCAAAACTGTACACTCTTAGAAAAAAGGGTTCTATATATGTAGCATAAGGTTCTTTACTCAACTACAAAGGACCTTTTATGCAAAAAAAAAAATGATGATAATGACAAGAAAGAACCCTTTTGGCACAAAGGTTCTTTATAGGCTATTATTCATTCATATATTACATTATTCTGCAACATTTTGCAGTTGTAATTCAATTATTGTTTATTAAACTGTTGTAGTAACTTAATATCCCATTTTAATCATGCTGATTTTTGAAGGATAAAAACACTTGTGATCATTCATGCATTGCATTTTAGGGGTTCCAAATACGTAGCGCGTTAGAACCTTTTAAGTTTCTATATAGAACCTTTTCTTCTAAGATGGTACTATATACGGTAAATAACTGTGATATAATTTTACTGTAAAATACTGTTAAATTTACAGTTTTTGAAAGTGAAAAAGAACAACTCATTGCATAATTTACAGTGAAAAACAGAAAATTGACATTCCCACAATTCCCTGTGTGACACTTCAAATTGTATGCATTTTTGTTGAAATAATTATGTTTCCTCATAGTTTTCTGCGGGTTTTTTTTAATTTTTTTTTAATCAGTTATGTGCTTTAGGCTTTTATGTTACATATAATATTGTTAAATTAATGTTAATTGCAATTTTTTAATTTCACAATTTAAATGTGTGTTACCATGATGGTGTTTAATGTTTGTGTGAATGACACTGTGCAGCTTCTTTATATAAGTATTAACCTTTTTATGGAAGACTACTTGTGATGAGCTTTGATTGCTCATGTAACTCTCATCGCTGCTGTGATGATTGTTTGGTTGTCAGTGTTTTACAATGGTACACAACTGATATCATTTTTTCAAAAGGTTGGTATATCAATATCAACAGATAATGAAATACAGTTCATTACTTTAAACTTTAAAAGTTAAGTCTGTAAAACCATTATTGTTCCTACCGTATCTGGCAACCACAGCTGCCGTTTTTTTACCGTAAAAATTCCATTTATTATCCCTGGCTGGGATAGGAACCAGTGAGATGTATGTATTCTCTAGTTATAGTGAGGTGGCGGAGGGATGTTCCTCCCGAACTTTGTTAATAAAACTTCATCAAAACTGTGTTTTGAAGTGTTTAATGATTCTGATAAGGCAATGACATCATTATACATTGCTCACTATAATTATACATGCAAGAATTCAGAGAAATATGCTAAGTGAAGAAAAAAAGTTTAAAGTGTCTACAATTAATCTAGCTGGTTACAACTTGTAAGAGAGAAAAACAAAAGAGAGAGATTGGAGTGAGGTACGTGCTGTTGTTAAACTTGTTGCACTGCAACGTTTCCAAAGCAGCGCTGAAGTAAAATCTCTGGTAGAACAGGCAGATAAAGATGTTTTAGCACCTGACTTGTTCAAGTGAGGTACTTATTAACCTGTTTTTGACAAATCCAGGGAGTTATGGTATACTTCACACTGCAGAGACAAAAAAACAAAAGTGAGTTGGAGAAAGAAAGATTTATTTTTGGTTTTTACATTTTTGACAAGCAAAGTTTGTTTAATGCATGTTATGGTGTGGAGTAATAAAACATATTTGGATCTGTATATTCGCATTATATATAAAAAAATCAAAGCAAGTGGCAATTAGTTTAAATAAATAAACACACTCAAAAAAATGAACTAGGGAGATTGTGCACTTTACATAATATATTTATATATACTTTACTTATAATAATTATATTTTTTGACTTTAAATGTTTTTTTTTCTATTAAGGTCTATGTAATTGTGTCTCAACTTAACAGTACAAAATCCAAATGTGTTGTCTAAACACAAACCATTTATCTTAAGTAAAAAAATCTGTACATCCAGAGGGTGACAGTATAGTGCGAGCCGACTGCCATTTTGCCCGAACTTAATTTTATTGTGTTCAATCTGCTTAAATCTACGAACAACTTAAGTTTACTTAATCCGTTTGTGTTGGATTACATGATTGATTTGTGTTGCCTTAACTGAAACTGGGCAGTGCTTTTAGTTCCCAGCATGCTTTGCATATGGTTGAATTAAGAGAGAATAAATGTTAAAATTAAGTGTTATTTTATGGTTTTTTTTTTTAGAAATTTAGAAAAGGGGAAGACTGGATATTGTGTAATAGTGTTTAATGTTAAATTACATTGGAATTATTAAACCATTTAAATTACAGTGGGTTACCATTGTGGAGACGAGTGGAGCATTTTGTTTGTCTGTCGACTGATTTCATTATTTTCAATTGTTTTGAAAGAAGGAGCATGCAAATCTTAGCATTCAAGATGCAAATATGTGCTTCTGTTAGCAAATAGCTAGCTAAAGTCTATCAATTTAATTAAATGTCACTCAATCAAATGAAATATAAATGGATGAATGCCTTTGAATCATGTCAGGAAGCCCTTAAAAATTCACGTTGAGACTACTTAAATTTGATATTTAAATAGTTTGATATTTAGCTTTTAAGACAACACCACTTTTTTTAAGTGAAGTTTTTTGTTTCTTTTTGTATTATGTAAATGAACTTGTTTGGGCTTACCGACACAGCGCTGCCTATAATCACTGCAGCAATTTGTTGTGCACAAAGTATTGCAGTTGCAGCGATATGAAGAGTTGTACTTCTCGTTGCATCTTCCCCAACAGGAGGTTGAGGCTGCACATACAAACAAGAATTAATCAAATAAGTGTCCTTTGAGTTGAATATATGAGTGTAGGTGTCTAAGAGAGAGTTTTACTTAGGCTGGCAGAGGAGCATGAGCTTGGGGGGTTGAAGGTGACAAATCCCGGCAGGTTTCGAACGATGGTGTTTGTGATCCAAGACTGATATCGAGACACACGGGTGTAAACCCCAGGAGAGTTGGGATCGGCACAGCCATACCCCCAGCTGGTGACACCAGCCTGTACCCACACTTTACACTGCTGACTCACCATTGGACCACCAGAGTCACCCTACAGAGAGGGACAAAAAGAAAGGAGATGTTTTTTTTATTTTTTTATTTGGGGACTTTTTTTTAATTAGGAAAGGACAGTTAACCTGTCAAACTGAGGCCCACAGGAGCACTACAGCCCTTGTGATGTTTCATATATATTTACACTACTGGAGCTATTCAACATCATGCATTACATTAATTGAGCAATGTACAGGTCTTGAAGTGCTTTATATGTTATGCAGTAGCTGTACACGCTTTGATGTTTATTTATAAACACTTTTTTTTTTTTACCTGGCAGGCGTCTCTGCCTCCCTCCAATAAACCAGCACAGATCATGTTGCTGGTGACCGATCCAGAACCCAGCAGATTATTACATCGAGTGTTGTCCACGACTGGAACCATAGTTTCCTGCAGAATCCCAGGAGCTGCTAGGTTCACTGAACAGGGTACACACAAACACACATTTAATAATTACTAATTAGTGATGTTACAAATTGATGCATATGTGACTTAATGGATGTTTTCTACCTCCAGATTGAACATCTCCCCATCCTGTGATCCAGCTGCTGGTGCCGGCACTGAAGACACTGGTCTGGGCTGCCAGACAAACCGGTTTAATGTAGTTATTGAAGGTAACGGTGGAGGACAGGCGCAGCAGAGCGATGTCATTGTCATATGTGTCGCTGTTGTAGGAGGGGTGAACGATTTTCGTTCTCACAGTTCTTAGGACTTCATTGGGATTTGTTCCCTGCTGTGTCCTCCTTCCCAAGTACACACGCAGACTGGACGTGCTGATCCTGAATACAGTCAGAGTACATTAAAAAGTAAGAAGAACAAAACAATATACCAAATACCTTCTACCAATAAAAATAAATGAATTAAAAATGAGTTTTGATGTGAATTTTACCCAGGTAAACAGTGAGCTGCCGTCAGCACCCATTCATTGTTGATGAGGGATCCTCCGCAAAAATGACCTCCATAGGCGGTGCTGTGCAGACTGACCTGCCACGGCCACGACCCATCAGGAGCATCCACACCACCCACAATACGGTTGTTTAGAGGGGCTTGTCCACAAACTATGAGAGAGAAAGAGAGGAGAGTGTTTGTTCACATTAGCATATCTACATTAACTATTTGACTTGATGTCAACATCTGAAGAAAGAGAGAAGCTCTTACCATTCAGCTGAGAAAGTGAACCTGCAAGGGCAGAAAGAAATGAGAAAGTTAAACCTTTCCCTTAATAATGACCCTGCCAGAGATCCTTGCTCTAATAATAGATTAAATTTGCGAGACTGATCATTCGGAAAACATCTGTGGGCAAACTGGTTTAAGCACAATTAACAGCCTTCTTTTCCACTATTCAACAAGGAACATTAGCCCCATGTCCTTCAAGAACAAGTATTTCAAGTATTTCAGTAGGCGTGACTCACAATGTAAAACATTTATAGGCTCCTTCTGTTCTTGGATTAATAACAGAATATGACCCAGAAAGAGATAGTTTTATATAGTTTTTCTCTCTATTACATCTTTGTTATCCGCTTTAATATATATATATATATCATGAGATCTTACCTTTTAAACACATGAGCAGGGTCAAAGTCACACACGTTGATCTCCACATCTTCACTCTGTTTCTTAGCAGAATGGATGCTGGTGTAATTTGGTACCAATCAACTCTTGCAGTCCATTTTATATAGTTGTGCTTCTCAAATGACTCCTTTCATAACTCACTTACCTGCCCACTAATGCTCCACCTCATTTTTTTGTCATGCTCTTCAATTCAATTCACATTTATTTGAATGGCGCTTTGAAAAGTGTGTGTTACAAATCTGTGTCCACGTTCATAGTCTTCGTAAAAGGACAGAAGCAAAGAACATAAGCACACATAATCTAGTTACCTTTGGGATTGGGATCCCGAGATAAAACAAATGAAAAAATAATAAGCTGTTGTTCATAATATTTCAAGCAAAGAAAATCATGTGCATTTGATCTGAGAACAATGAGATGGTTTATGTGAATGTTTGGCTTTAAGGATATCTTTAGTCTAGATTTTAACTATAAATTTAAAGTAAATGTGATAATATGTCATGACCAAGAGATCCTTTTGTCGAGGTAACGAGTCGAGACGTGTTGTGGGAACGAAATCTGTAGCTATTTCTAGCTGTCTAACTATTTCTCGTAGAACTACCCTGCGTGACCGTATCAACCTGGGATTATCAGAAATGGATATTAATAAAACATTAATATTTGAGTTGTAATTCAGTATAACAAAATGAATCAATTATTATAAAACGTTAATAAATTATAGTTAACATATAATAGGCCAACTATTATATTATGTTCAGTATAGTGCAAAAATCACCATTTCTACAAAATTGTTTAGCAGCACAGCTGTTTTCAGCATTGTTTGTAATAAAAAAATTGTTTCTTAAGCAGCAAATCAAAACATTAGAATGATTTCTGAATAATCATGTGACAGAAGAGTGGAGTAATGATGTGGAAAATTTCACTTTGCAACCACATGAATAAATTACTTTTTTTCAGATAAATAAACTACTTTTTATATTAAAAACCTGTTCTTTTAGTTATGTTATTTAATTATTATGTACGAGAGAGCGGGGCACAACCTAACACTTTTTGACTGTCAAATTTTGTGTAAATCTACTTAGGGTTTAGAGTATACATTTTTTCCCGCATTAATTTCTCGCATGTCTACAATTATGTGGTTTTGTTTTATTAATACAGTGTATACTTTCTTGATTTAGAATGGATGTGAAATGTGACAACATGCCCCATAGCTGGGATACGTGTAACGTGAGGGGCACATTGTAACATCACCATATGACAGCTTAAAACGCTATCTCATCTAATCAAAAATATATACAAGTCAAACCAAAATATTTTCTTGATAAAATAAAATTATTAACTTTTTCATAATAGTCACTTTTTTAATAATTAAAAATAAACTTAATTTTGAGTTTGACGACAAACACACCAGAAAACACAGCTATACCGCAGATTTCAAAACAAAATAATAATGAATAATGTCTAATTAATAAAAACATTGACTCTCAGTCTTTATCTACATGTTTCTCATGTTTTCTCAAGAATCCATAAAAGTGTAGAATATGATAGCATTTATGATAGCAGTGTTACAATATCCCAACTGCACAACTGGGGTTTAAACCCTGCTCTTCTGCTATTTAGCGAAGCATTAAAGAACTATATCAATTGTTAAACAACAGATTGGAGATTAAAATAATATCAGATTTGTCTAATTTTAAATAAACACAAAAAATAGAGATGTGTGTGTGTGTGTGTGTATATATATATATATATATATATATATAGTATATAATTACAATGTATAATTATATATGCGTTTTACAGTGTCTTGGATCTCTTTAAAAAAAATTTTTTTGTGCAGACGTGATCAGTCTGGCTCTCAGGTTCCCCTTCATTTCTCTCACCTCTAACATAGAGGTGACATCACATATCTTAAGATCCGGCAACATAAAGAATACAGAATCCTGAAAGTTGGCCTTAGAGTAAGCCTTCTATCAGCCAAACATCGAATTGTCTTAAAATGTGCTCATAAATCAGAGATCAAAAGGCTTCAGAGGAGACTGTAGAATCCTATAAGACACGTCAAACATAGAATTACTTTGTTGTTTGTGAATCAGATTATTCTTTATTGAAGTACTTTTTTCAAGGGCACAATAACTTAACAAGAGCACAATAACAAGAATAACTGAAGTCTTTTGTCCCCATAAATATAAAGTTTGTGTGTGTGTACCACTTAAAGAATCACCAAAAATACAGTACTTATTAAAATCTCTACATTTAAAACGTTTGACAGATATTGCAATTCAACAAACAAATTAATAGGCTAAAACATTTAAAATGTATATCTCAAGAACTTATTCTAACATATCAACCATTATCACCCATTAATGACACTCTGTCACTCATAAAACAGTGACTTTAAAAATGTGGCATTTCAAAAGGTATATTTTGTTTTTACTTATAGTCTCTTGGATTATGAACAGACGCCAAAATTTATTTAAAAAATAGGGCAGGTGTGACAATGGCTAAACTTTGGCGGGAATGAAAATAACTATTCTTGCCTTGAAGCTCTGGTTCCTCCATAGGGATTTTTCTATTTTCAGAAAACTTTATATTGCTTTGGATAAAAGTGTCTGCTAAATGACTGCTAATCGACCATAAATATTAGCACGGTAACAGCAGCAACACCTACTAAATAGGCTAGTTCACATTCAGTCTGTACATTCACACTCTTAACCCGAATTAGTTGACTTTAGGCTACTCGGAAATCGCGTGGAAACCCGTTGCCCGGGTTCCATGTTAATACAATTCAACATGTTTCAGCTTGTGTAAAAAGCTGAAACATGTTGAGTTGTATTTATTAACATGGAACCCTAACTTTTTATACACAAGCTGAAACTAACCATGTTGAGTTGTATTAACATGTAATCTTAAGAGGGTGCAGCAGAAAAATGTACATTACAAAGTTTACATTAGTAGTCTTTGCGGAAAATCCTTGGTTCACGTACGTTTAAAAAATATTTTGAGCATAGGTGTACTATTGCAACATTTTTTCATGACTTTTAATTTTTGTTGATTACAATATCAATTTGCATTAATCACTGGTTTTCTTTACACGTGGCTTTTTTGCTACAACAATTGGGCATTTTAAACACACTGGTAAAGCTGCCAGAGAAAAACTAATTTAAATTGTCAAGGTCAAGAGCCCGCCTACAGCCAACAATAATCACCATAATGGTGGCTATTTTTAAATTAAATTAAGCAATAATTCATTCAACATCTAAACGTCTGTTATTTCTCAATACCGTCTGCTGCCGAGGCCTGTGCCTGTTCCACCAGGTGTGGCACGCGTCCCGTTTTTCTAAAACTAGACGCGTGTCATTCCTTGTGACTAGGCAGGTTTTTGAACACCAGTGGTTTCTGCCTTTTGATTTGTGTGGTATTTGAACCCCTCCCCTTCCTTAAGAAACTAAACCTACCAAGTAATCTCTCCTAAACCTGATTAGTGCAATGAATCTTTCTGCTAAATACCAATGCTGTTTAGTACTCACAAAAGAATACGTAATGATCACTCGTAAGTTTAATTAGAAACAAAATCTGGGTATTTTCAGGTCTTTACAAAAAATGTTTGTCTTTTAGTATAGCGTGAGTCCAAAATATTAATAGATGTTGACAACCATACAAAGGACCTGAAATCCTGTTGAGAAGCACTTTTCTTCTAAGCCATATGCACTGAACTCATGTCAATAGGGTACATTTGAGATGACGTATGTTGGTAGCAGTCACAATGAGAGGAATATTTCTAAAGAATTTAAAAGTCGTCATGTGGAAACAAAAAAAAAAAAACTGCTGAAACAAGTATTGCAGGAATTAGAGAATTGACTGTTTAAGGATGTAGAGGTAAACCTAAGATGTGCTTATAACACCACAAAATGTAATTAAACCTGGTAAATATGCATTGCAAGTGTTAGAGATTTGTTGAGTATGATGTTTAAACTTTAAATGTATGTGTTTTGGCATATGTTCAGTTGGGGTCAAGATTCAAATTTTATTAGAGGATTGTATTTTTTTGAAACTGGTTCACTGTTAGGGTGATATCATGAGAAATCTTGATCTTTTGTGATAAAATAGTTCATTGTACAATGAAAATGTCACTTTCTGATGTTCAAGAAACTTCATGACAAAAATACATTGAAGCTTTAAGTGGAACTGCCACTGACTGTAAAAAAAAATGCCTTAAGCCATTTCAAAGTGAAACGTACTGAGATATGCAATATAAATTAGGATGACCAAGTTCACGTCCTGTCCTGGCCATCCTGGCTGTTTTTTTTTTTTATAAAGTAATGAAAATGTCCTGGTTTTCAAAAAACTGATCAGCTTTACAGCAAAATATAGATGGGGAAAACCACAAAAGGGGGGTTAGGAAGAAAAATAAGATAAAGAGGAAGAAAACTAAAAATATAAATATGTGTTTGTTCGTTTTTGTAAGTTTGTGAGAGCTATTTTTGGCTATTCATTTGGAGGTATTTTAGTTATTTATTATTTATATGTATTTTTCTAATACAGTAGAGACAGTATTTCAGTCATTATTTTTGAAACGTGTCATAAAACATACATCACAGCAGAAAATGCAATTGAAGTGCTGCACAGGGTGTAAAATCTCGGTGCTCTTTGGTTGCTTGGGATAATTATGCTTGAAATCAAAGTAATACTCCAAGGCATTAAATTGTGTATAAGTTAAAAAGCCTTTATTAGATCATGGCTTTTGTCCATTTAATTGGTGACAGGCCTACACCTATGCGTTAAGGCGTATGCCTTCATCAGGGTGTGTGTCATAAAACATGTTGCCTCTGAGAAGCCTATCTGAATTTGTGTCTTGTAATTTAACCATTGTCTATCCATACAGAGGAGGCATAGCAAACTAATGAATAAGGCATCTTTGAGTAAACTTCGAATATCATTTCTATTTTAGTATCTGTTTGGTTTTTGGTAATCAAAATATGGTCACCCTAATATAAATTGAATATCAAAAGAATGCTAAATATGATAATGATGCTTTCGCTTTCATTGGTGCTTTGGCCCAAGTTGTTCAT